AACAAAAAACATACCCCCCCCCACCGCCCCCCCCCACCCCTCGAGCAGGAGTTTGTTTTTATTCCACCTGTTCGGAGCCGGATCAGCCAAATAAATAAACAACACCTCAACGTGCATTTTTTTCAAAAGCCACCGTGACGAAAAAAAGAAAAGAAAGATGAAACGAGGATTTAAAAAAAATCATAGAACTGCATAGAAAAATGTCAGAGCTTTGAACCTCAGCGTCATTTACTCCTGGTCGTTGTTATTTCATATTACTCATTTCCACTGCCTCGATCACAACCTTAATCTGGAACCAACCACATGCCGGTAAACAGTAATTACATGCTGTATTGGATGAAATACATTTGGGTTTTTTTTGGTTTTTTTTTAAAGTAAAACCTAGAATTATAAATTTCATGGGTCCATGTCACTGGATTTTTTATATTTTTTTTGCATTTAACGGCATTTTTTTTGATTTATCCCAAAAAACAAAAACAGGAAAATTATTTTCTTTCTTCTCCAGTGATTCCAAATGTAGATCCCTCTATTCCCAAAAAATTATCACAGAATATCGCAATATATCGTATTGTTGGCCCTGTATTGCAATACGTATCGTATCGCCAGATTCCTGCCAATATACAGACCAACGTAGTGCTAAAAAAATTACAATTTTTTTTAACATTTAAAACTGGCGTTTGTTTTGTTGGAGAAAAATAGATAAATAAATAATGACAAATCCAATGTGTAGAATATGTCGTCGTCTGCAAAGAACCGCACAGAGTGACTCTAACGTGAACAGATGGACGTGTTCAGTCTGATGAGTGAAATTGCCGCGGCTCGCTGCTGCATACATTGACAGCCTGGGCCTCAGAAGTATCAGCGGATGTGATATTTCTTTGTTTATGCTTGTATTAACAGTCGGCACAAATCACATCAGGAAGGAACTGTGTCTTTGTGCAATAATTGGAATTATGCAAATATTCACGAGGCAGCACTTTGTAATAAGCGCATTTATTCATAAATTTCAGTTTTTATTATTATTGGTTCACTCTGAGGCACGGCCCTGCTTTTTTATCATTTATGTGGTATTCATTATTTCCTGTCACCACCTTATGTTACTTTTATAGTGTTGACTTGTAAACAGGAGGACGCTGGGAAAAAAAAAAAAAAAAAAAAAAAAAAAAAACCCAAAACAAACCAAACCATAATAAGTGCAGTCGATTGAACAAAGAGAAGGGAAACAGAGTTAATAGTCAAAGAAGCCTTTCATACATAAGTGGTGATTTCTCCGAGGAGGATCAGCAGCCACTTTTTCTCCTCTTCCCCGGTTCGATCCACTCCTGCGCTGCTGTAAAGTTAGCCTCTAAAGAGACGGAAGAGAAATCTATACGTGTCTCTGTCTGGCGATTGATATTCACCTTCCTCCTTTCTCGCTCCTCACACCTCCATCACCCCATCCCATCATCCTCTCTTTCTTGTTCTTGCCTCCTCTCTGGGTCCATGGTGGCCAATCCATCCTCACGCCCTCCACAGGCCAGGTCAGAACATCCAATATCCTATGGATTCACACTTCCTCTGCGTCCCCTGCCGCCTGCACCCAACTACCTGCCCCAGCCTCCCACCCACTCCTCGGCTTTGTCTCTCCTTTCCTCTCCATCAATCCAACCATCCTGTTCTTTTCATCTCCTTTACCTCTTATTATTATTCTGTTCACCCCCTCAACCCCTCCCCCCCCCGCTTCATACCATTAGCCTCTGCTGTGTTTCATCTTATTTCTCTGTAACAGTAAAAGCTTTCATTTTTAAAAAAAATATTATTTTTTTTTTTTGGTAATTAATAGCATGTCATCATCTGCATATTGAATGCATAAAAACTAATCTTTGTGCAAACACTATTTAAATTTAATTATATACAGTATATCAGGCTACACAGCGTACAGTGGGTTGGAAAACGCTAATGCTAACGCAAACAACGGATGAAGATGTATTTTTAATGCATATTTTATGTTTGTAAATAACCAGTTTATAGTGTAACATTCTTACTCCTTTCTTTTACGACGTGACAGAATTACGTGTAAAATTTCACACTAATTTAATAACGTAACGTATTTTTGCTCTGAGTTTGTTCTTTAAATGACAAATATAAACATTTACATCGACCACGTCTGTCTTCATTTTGCACTCACAGGCTCAGCTCAAAGTAATAATCCCAATTTCTGTGGCGGAGTCAAATTGCATATATTTGCATTCGTTGCAAAGAAGCTTTGGTTGGACTGTGTTTAAAGCACTGCGAAAAAAACAAAAAAAAAAACAACTGAAGTAATTCTGACAGAGTTCTCTGTGTTTGTTGTGTACGTGCACACTTTTGAAGAGTAAAAAAAAAAACCCACAAAGATTGGCATCCTCCAGACTAATTCTGGCTCGGTCGGCAAATTGTACTGAGTCTGCATGTGTCGCTGCCAACAATCTAAAACGTTACGAAACAAACATTCCAAAAGTTTCCATTAAATGTGAAGTGAGATGAAGTTTGAAAGGGATTTGTTGTTGTGTGAGGGAACTGGATATGGGATGTGAACCAATAACACTCTTATATGACAGCAGCTGGTGTTTAGAGGCTTTTTTTTTTTTTCTTTTTTCCTTATCTAAAGCCTTCCCTGTGGTCAGGCTGCGCCTCACCTCACCTCACCTCACCTCACCTCACACCGCTGTGAGAGAAGTGGAGGGAGATAAAAATCAAAATTAATGTGCAATTTAATGTATACATAAACTCACACCTGGACTCACCCTGGTTACTGTAACTGAGAGGCTGCTGCCGCTGCTGCTGCTGCTGCTGCTGGTGGTGGTGCCGCGGGGGTGATGGTGATGGTGATGGTGGTGGTGGGGGTTCTTGGAAATGTTCTTTAATGCAGATACAGTCCGCCTGCTCTACGTGGACGGCTACTCTCTGCGACACCATCTTTATTTTCTGTGAAAAAACATAGAAAATAAAAATAAAAATGTAGTCGTCTGACCCGACATGGACAGAACACGTTACAGTAGAACCGTTTCACTGGACCGTTTTATACATGTCATTACGCCGTGGGTAAAAAGTGATAGCATTTGCATGACCTTTAGCAGCGCAGAGGTCAAATTATCCCCCGCAGTTTTGGCTCTTGCTGCTCGGCGTGTTGTTATTGGAGCTCTATTCTCTATCTGAACAGAAACTTTGTCTAAAAAAAGACACATCTATTAATTATGGACCTGGAGCCAATTTGTGGCGAGCTGGACTCTCAGCAGATAATGATAATCATTATAATTGAAAAGAAAAAAAGAAAAAAGTGTTTGTTTAGCGCAGTCACAAAAAAAAAAAAGAAGTGAGTGACGCTCGCTTGAGTTTTTCTGTAATAAAGACTTGGGCGGCGAGCAGCGGCGTGTACGACGGCGACAGGACGTGAATCATCAGCGGTGAGATTGAAACGCGGGGGTAAATCCGTGGCTGTGTCTCTGTTCTGTGCAGCCCAGTCTTTCTCTTTGTCGTGGCCCAGTTACTGCGGCGGAGACTGATCAAAGAGCAGCGCTGATTCCCTCTGAATGATCAAGGAGAGCAGACGAGGAGCTGAGTGATTACTGAACACTGACATATCCATTTCAATCACTCCTCGATTCCACGACTGTCACACAATAGGTGCAGAACACAACTCTGTTGGATCACCCGGGTTCCACTCGTGCGGGTTTTATTGATCATGTGGGAGACACTTGTATTTTTCATGAGGCAGAAAAAAGAAAAAAAAAAATGGCATGAGCAAACGTGCCACTGAATCAGG